CTCTCTCTCTCTCTCTCTCTCTCTCTCTCTCTCTCTCTCTCTCTCTCCCTGTGTGCATGTTCCTCTCTCTTTTCCTTTCTGTCTCTTGTCTTTTCAAGACTGGGTTTCTCTGTATATCCCGGACTGTCCTGGACACTCTGTAGACCAGACTGGCCTGGAACTCATAGAAATCCAATCGCCTCTGCCTCTCGTGTGCAAGGATTAACGGTGTGCAACACTACACTCAGCTAGAGCACATGCCCACTCTAGCTACATGTTTTGAATACAATATAAATTCCTTTCTGTAGGAGAAATGAAAAGTTATGCATCCTTTAGTACTTTATTGCACATTTAATGACTTAATGCGATTTGTTAGGTACTGTGCTCTGCCTCAACAGTTTCTATATCTTGAAATAATATTGCCCTAACCTGGGCTACATATTGGAATCCTGGCCATCCTGGAGTAGATAAGTAAAACTCTGTCTCAAAACAGCAGCAGCAACTCCAGCAACAACAATAACCACCAGCAGCATAATGACTCGAATCTAGCCCTGACATTTACAAGCTGAGGGACTCTGGGAAACGGATTAACTGGGTCCTTATCTCCTCACTTAGAAAGTAGGGAGACTTTGCCCATGCACCTGCCTAAGCGGTTGGAAAAATCAAGAGATCATGGCTGTAAAATATCTGAAGGTATGATGCAGATGCTAAGTACCCAAATTCTGATGCAGATACTAAGTACAAAAATACCATGGGATCTTGTCAGTAATTTTGCTTCAAGGCTAGGCAGTGGTGGCACATGCATTTAATCCCAACAGTTGGGAGGCAGAGGCAGGTGGATTTCTGAGTTCGAGGCCAGCCTGGTCTACCGAGTGATTTCCAGGACAGCCAGAGCTACACAGAGAAACCTTGTCTGGAAAAACAAAAACAAAAACAAAAACAAAATTTGCTTCAAGCAGTTATTAAATGCCAGGAATTATCCTAGATACTTAGACTACAGTTATTTAGACAAAGCATAACCTTTGGGGAAGGTGTTGGAGATTACACACACACACACACACACACACACACACACACACACACACACATTTCCCCAGATTCTGATTATACAGAAAACAAGACAAGTACTATGGGTTGAATATTTGTGTACTACTTCCAAAGTTTCTAGGCTGAATTCCTGCCCCTAGGGTAGGATGGTATCAGTAGGCAGGACCTGCAGGAAGTAGTTGGGTAATGAATAGGATCAGTACTTTTTATAATAGGTGACAGGAGAGTTTGCACTTGCTGTGCAGCAACAACCACAACCACAATGACAACAACAAACCAAAATCCAACCAACCAACCAACCAACCAAACCCAAAAATCCTCACACAAAAAAGCCCAAACAAATAAAAAGCAAAACCAAGCAATTAAAGCCCAGCAACAAGAGAATGTAAACTAAGAAGCTGACCCTACCACGTACAGAATTGACTAGAACCTTGATCTTGGATTTTTCAAGCAAATGCTTGATGGTTTAAAGTACTGAAGCCTATGGGATTTTTTGTTACAGCCCGGGATGACTCAGACAGCAAGGCTACACAATAAAGAGTGAGCAGGGGATGACCAGGAGAGATCTCACAATGTAGTTAAGGAAGGCTTCACCGAGATGGGAACATAGTATCTGAGACTTGAAAGATAACAGTGGTTCCAGCCTACTTAGCCAGAGCAGGAAGTTACAGAGAAAGCCAATAGGATTGTGAGCAATACAGAACGGGGTATGAAGTTTTGATAGTTAGGGCCCAGAACAAAGGAATCCCTAGCTACATCTGGCGTTTAATCTCATGGCAACAGGAAGCCATTAGTGTGCATAAAGTGCCAGAGCCACTTAATTAGATTTACTGAAGAGCCAGACGTAGACCCATCATGAGGCATTTGTGAAATGTACAGACTAGGACCCAACTTGGAACCAAGGATGTCTACAAAATGATCATAAATTCAATGGGTTCTAGAATCAGTGATGTGACAGCCAAGTGAGTGTGTGTGACATGTGGCCAGGTGTGACATGTGGCCAGGTGTGACATGTGGCCAGGGTCCACAGCACACTCATGAGACTGTAGTCTATGAGAGAGCAAGAGAGAAACGACTGACTTCCTCAGGAAAGTAGCAGGGAAAAAAGAAACGGAAGTGAGTCTAGGATGGAGTTCCACTGTAGAGTGCTTGCCTAGAACTCATAAAACACCCTCTAAACTGAGAATGATGACCAGAAGCACTCCCATCCCAACACTGGGTGGGGGTGGTAGCGAAAGTAGTAGAACTAAGGTCATCCTTGGCTACATATCAAGTTCAAAGCCAGGCTGAAATACATCAGGTTTTTTTGCTTATTGTTTTGTTTTGTTTTTTTTGTTTTTTTTTTTTTCCGAGACAGGGTTTCTCTATGTAGCCCTGGCTGTCCTGGAACTCACTTGGTAGACCAGGCTGGCCTCAAACTCAGAAATCCGCCTGCCTCTGCCTCCCAAGTGCTGGGATTAAAGGCATGCGCCACCACCGCCCGTCTAATACATCAGGAAAAAAAATAAAAGAAGGAAGGAAGAAAGGAAGGAGGAAGGGGAGGTGAAAGGCAGAAAAAAATCCTTTATAAACCTGGAGCAGCTCACATTCAAAGATGCTGGCTGGAAGATCTTGAAGTAATAACCAAGGGATGTAGCACCCATTGTCATCAGTCTGGCACTGGTGGTCTACATCCTAAAGCATTCTGATCCCCTAACAAGGTGACAGAGATGAGATGGAGAAATGGTAAATACCCATAACTTTTGAGATGACTTGTTCTAGGCACTTGAAACAGTAAAACTATGTGATCCCAGAGACCGTAGAAACTCTCCTGCATGTCAGAGTCACAATGGCTGGATGTACGGCTGAATCCCCACAAACAGACAAGAAAGACAGAGGCCTGACATACTGGGTTTTAGTTACTTCTCTAGTCACCAGGGTCACATTTCTAACAGAAACTGTGTACTGGAGGATATGTTGGGCTCAAAGTCTCAGGGACCTTAATCCACTACATGGGAGAAGGGAGAAGGTGCAGTATGGCAGGACACAGGGCAGGGTAACTCTTCACAAGGCAATACCAGGAAGTAGGGGCTCAAGCACCTTTACCTGTTGAGCTGTCTTGTCTTACTCACAACTGCCATTTTATGGAAGTGATACATGAGGGATACATGAGATACTCATTCAAAAACAAACAAAATCAAACAAACCTGTATTGGAATACAGACACACACACAAAGTCCTAAATACACATACATACACTCAGATGCACAGATATTTATATATAATCACATATGGGTATACAGATACATATGTATATATACATATATCTATACATATTTATACATTCATACACATATACAGTTTGGCCAAATGTATTTTCTCATATGGGAGTTATGCATCCCCACCCTTCTTCCCTCTCATCAGTGTCTTGCCATGTTGCCCAGGCTGACCTTGAAGTCACAGTCTTCCTGCTCTCACTCCATGTGTCCCAGAATTACAGGCATTTACTGGCGTCTCTCTTACATGATAAACTAATAGGTTATATAATTTAAAACCACCCCCTCCCCTGCCAGATTTAGAAGAGCCATGAATATGCTAATGTGTTTAATGTGTCTGATTAATTTCCAAGAAGAGTAGAGAAGGTGTTTGAGCAGGGATGTTCAGGGCAGGGCTTGTTGCTAAGCTAGAATGCTGGGCAGTGCAGTTGTAGAAAAGCCACTCACATAAATTCTATACTGCTCTGTGATATATAAAACTGTCATATACCGCCAGAGAAGACAAATATGAACCACATAGGAAGGTTATGCTACAGTTAATCACTAGAGACGAACTAAAACCAATTAAGTTCTCAGTCCGCTCGGCTAGCTGGGCAAGGCCGGGTCAGGTTTTCAGCTGCCATGGGAATCTGTTGAATTGGTGTTAAGCCAAATCCTTCCTCCTGTAAAAGAGTACACGCTTGAAACTGAAAGAACGTGCCAAAAAGAATTTGCACTGAGTATTCATCGTAGAAGCAAAATATAAAATCCTTCTTTTAGTCAAAGTTCCAATAGAAAAAGAAAAATTCAGACTTAGCTGGGAAATCAGTGCTCACTCTTTGCACCCCAGCTCTCCCACTGAGCTCCCTGGGTGCTGAACACACTGTGGGAAGGGTCTCTAACGCTGGCTGCCTTAGCCAAGGAGGCTGGCATCGTTTGGAGCACAGGACCTAGTGGATGTGGTCTTCAAATTAAGGAAGCGTAGAGTCAGACCTTAGTACTAGATTGGTGCTTAGCTGCTCTCTGCTTCTTTGAGCCATGTTGAGTTGTTGCCTTTTAAAAGTGTGAAGATCAATGTCACAGTCACAAGTCAGAATCTAGACAGGTGGAGAACTACATGTTGCCACTGTGGCCCTGGCTTAGAGCACTAGGCAAAGATATGACAGGAGAGGACGGGAGCACTGAATGAATCTGTGGGGGGAATGACGGGAGACTCCAGCCTGCTGAACCCTCCCATCATACTAGATGATCAAGATCCACAGCCTCTTTGAGATGTTTCTCAGAGGATAGAACAAAATAGCGCTTGATAATGATGCTTATAAACAGAAAACTCAAAGTGGGCAATGCTGTGCATTAACCAAAATCAAGGTTTTACGAGGAATCCTTAGGGAAGCCAACTGCTCCGTATGTTAATTAAGACCATATTTTTTTTTTTTTTTTAAAAAGAAACTTGAACACAGGTTCCTTGCAAATATGTGCAATGATTTCTCCTAGAAACTCCTACGGGTTACTGTTAAGGCCTAGGTAACAGTTACCTGGTTAGCCTGCCATTATAAAGAAACTTTCTCGTGTTTCTGCTGTTACTAGGAGCACTTTCTAATGCCAAAGTTGATTGCATATTCTGTTATGTTCTGTGCCCTTGGAAACCAATTATGATAGAAGGCAGTAGAACTGCTTTGTGTAGTTACCCACAAGAAGCTTAGACCAACCACTCAACAGCACTTCCTACATCTGTGTATAAGCTTTGTTATAAGCTGTCCCTGGGACAGACCCCAGAATAAGAGAGAGACACACTTGCACCAATAAAAGAAACTATTTGGAATAAGACATCCATTTTGAGTAGTGGTCCAGTAAAGTTCCCAAGACCTCCCTGGGAATTGACATCATTCTTGGCAGGAAGAGCCATGTATATGGTTCACTGACTTCCTGGTTGGTAAGTTGAATGTTGGACAAGTCCCATCCTAATAGACAAGGTAGGGCATACATATTACATAAGGCGGGTCCCCTGACACAGTTGAATACTCCAACCAATGGGAATAGGACAAATGTACAACAAAGACATGTTCCTAAAAAATTCTCCCATCTCTAAATCCTGATTGGTGAAATAACTTGGCACAGATGTTTGTGGATTTGGGGCTTAAAAACTCTGTAGGATCTTAACTCGGGGGTCATGGTCCAGTTCCAAAATCTGAACCATGGTCCTGGTTGACCAGTCCTGGGTCATATGCTCAATAAACTATCCCTGTCTGACTGAGATCAGTGTCTGTGTGGTTTGTGAAGTGACTCCTCCACCCCAACAGCTATTGTTAGTCAGAGAGGACTTTGAGGTCCCTAATAGAACACAGGTTATTGCCACTGCTCTAGCTTGTCCACTCTAGCTATACAGTAAATGTGATGGCTGAAGCAGGATGCAGAGAAATCAAGCTGGAACCAAGGAGAACGGTTATCATTAGACTTACCCAGTGGTAGAATCTGCACACTACATACTAACCTCCTAAATGTAACATGTCTACTTGTGAGATAGTGGGATGTCTGTTGTAGGGTAACAACTAACTTATGATTGGTTAGTTTGCCAATGTATGAAGATCCTCCTGCCTTTGTGTCCAGAGTGCTGAGACTACAGGTGTGGGACACTATGCCCCATAGATATGACTCTTTCTAAGGGGAGGGAAGACACAGGGAAAAAGCTAAGAAATATAGGAATTAAGGGGGAAAAAAATCAGAGTCAACAGATGTTCCCTGAAGAAGCCAGAGAGATGGGAGAGTGAGCAAGGGGTCGATCAATTGTACCTTCATCCCTGCGGCAGCTGCAGGTCCACTGGGGTCCACAGCCTGGATGTGGCATGGCTTACTTCCTCGCACCACAAAGCCCCAGCCAACTGCGTCACCAACAATCTAGAGAGGAAAACCACAATGAGCACATAGCAGATTGCCCCTGGTCATTTGCTGGTCTTTCTGGGAGTAAAGTCTGACCAAGGATTAACTATGCATCTTGACATATACTTTTTCTTCATTTCATCTCTACTGTGTCAGGGGAATGAAAATGTAGTGGTGGCACATAACCTGTTGAGCAGAAGAAAGCTGAGTTGGGGAGGTCACTCCCCAGAAAACAGCTGCCCGTATACCGCTTCACTGGGCTGCCTGCCAATTTCATATCCCACTGCAGTATTAGTCTGAGAAGATCTTAAAAACATTGTTGCTCACTCTCTCTCTAGATTCAGTCTCTAGACCAACAGGATCTTTCCTTCATATCCCAACAACACATTTTGACATAGGTACATCAAAGCCTAGCATGGTGGGAGATATGAAGAGTCCCAGCTTTTTTTGAAAGACAGTTTATGGGGGCTGGAGAGATGGCTCAGTGGTTAAGAGCACTGACTGCTCTTCCAGAGATCCTGAGTTCAATTCCCAGCAACCATATGGTGGCTCACAACCATCTGTAACGGGATCTGATGCCCTCAGAGCAACAGTGTACTCATATACGTAACATAAATCTTAAAAAGAAAGAAAGGAAGGAAGGAAGGAAGGAAGGAAGGAAGGAAGGAAGGAAGGAAGGAAGACAGTTTACTGAGAAAACCAAGGAAAAAAGTAGATAAAGTTTACAATTTACAGACTGTGGTCCAGACATTGTCTAACACGGACACATGTATTTTCCTATGGAATCAGAGCAGACAGTTAGGTTCCCTGGACAGTTCCAGAGGCATCACTTAGTGCATATGCCAACTGGAGTACAGATGAAACACCCCCACAGTCAAGTACTTAAGTACAAAGTCAAACAAATGCTCTTAAAACACGGCCATCCCTCAAAAGCTGGAGACTTGGGGAAACCAGGAGGGCAAGTGGGAACCGTGGACATTCTTGAGACTATTGGGCGCTTTCATGGTTTTAGGATTTGCTACTATGAATTTATTATATCAAAGTTCACTTTCCCCTTGGTGCAGACATAACAGCCTGTAATGGTTTCTATTTGCTTGGCCTAGGGAGTGGCACTATTAGAAGGTTGGAGTAGGTGTGTCACTGTGGGTGTGGGCTTTAAGATCCTCATTCTAGCTGCCTGAAAGCTAGTATTCTGCTAGCAGCCTTCAGATGAAGATGTAGAACTCTCAGCTCTGCCTGTATGACCGCACCTGCCTAGACACTGCCATGCTCCCATCTTGATGATAAAGGACTGAACCTCTGAACCTGTAAGCCAACCCCAATGAAATGTTGTTCTTGTAAGAGTTGCCTTGGTCATAGTGTCTGTTCACAGCAGTAAAATCCTAACTAAGACATAGCCCTTCTTCTGTTAACTCCCCAGTGCTCAGCATGGGAGGGGTCCTTAGCTAGAGTTTGGGGTGTGAATGGATGTAAGGGAAAACTTCTCACCTTTGAGGTAATAAAATTTGTCAGGGAATAGAGTAAGAGAGGAGATGGTGAATAGATGGACCTCTAAAGTTTATTGATATATATGTTGCAGGCCAAGAGAAGAAAGCAATCGGAACAGGGGAGATGGTACCAATAAGAATATGTGCATGGGCCTAGGGATGTCTCACAGTTGGATAGAGTCCTTGCCTAACATGTGAGGGGCTCCAGGTTTGATTCCTGTAACTGCATGAACCCAGTGTAGTCTGCTTTCCTGGTACTTCAGAGGCTGAGGGAGGAGGATCAGAGATCCAAAGTCATCCTGGGCTATCCATAGTCTAAGGCTACGTGAGACCCTTCAGAAAAATAACTTAAGATTCCATTTGAGCAAAATCAACGGGGCTTGGGGAGGAAGAAGGAAGGTTGTAGGAACACTAAGAAAGGCAAGTCCTCAGCTCCAGGGGACTACACAGGGCTGTCAAGTCAAGTGGCTGTGCACCTCAGCACATACAGATATTTATTCTATGGTTTTGTTTCCTTTCTTCTCCTTAGGATTTTCTAACATCTTAATGATTTTTAGAATTAACTGTAATGAAGAAATTAATGAGCCAGGCGGTGGTGGCGCATGCCTTTAATCCCAGCACTTGGGAGGCAGAGGCAGGCAGATTTCTGAGTTCGAGGCCAGCCTGGTCTACAGTGTGAGTTCCAGGACAGCCAGGGCTACACAGAGAAACCCTGTCTCGAAAAACAAAAAAAAAACAAAAACAAAAAAAAAGAAAAGAAAAGAAAAGAAAAAAAGAAAAGAAAAGAAAAAAAAAGAAAGAAATTAATTAATAGGTTTTTTTTTGTGCTGTCTTCTGTTTTAAAAGTAGGTAATTGGGGGGGGAGGGATGTGGAAAGGGGATAACATCTGAAATGTAATAAAAAAAAATCCAATAAAAAAGTAGATAATTACATTGGGATAAGTGAATAGTAGATACTGAAAAGGACAAAACTCACAAAGAATTTAAAACATCCCATAACTAACAAATCAAGAGAAGCCTTAACACATTTTCTGCATTAGAGCTTAGAGCCTCTACTATAACCAAAATGTGCGGATGGGTGTGGCAACATACAACTTTATCCCATCACTTAGGGGTCAGAGGCAGGAGGATCCCTGTGAGTTCAAGGCCAGTCTGGTCTACAGAGTGAGTTCCAGACTATCCAGGGCCACATAACGAGACCCTGCCTCAACAAAGGGAGGGGGAAATCTGAGGAAAGTTCTCAGTGTGGTCCCTTGGCCACACACGGACTGGCAGGTGGGGGTGTGCAGGAGCTGGGCTTACCGTAAATGTCTTCCTTGCGTATGGAGCCCCAGGAGTCAAGAGTTCCTCAGAAGTGACAGGTCTCTTCAGCACTAAGAGACAGATACAGTGTCAGAGAATACACACTTCTAAGTCCTTCTCCCATCCACTCAGAAGGCATTTCTGGAATGCTTCCTTTTAACTGGCAACCAGTAAAAGTGGCAAAGACCTCCACCACACATTTCATCCTTGAGCTGAGCGGACAGAAAATCCCAGCAAAGAGCTTAAACCTAACTTATGAAACTATGGGGATGCAGAGAGGATGGGGAAAGAAACCAAGATACCTTTAAGGGGACAAAGGGAGGAATAGCATCTCCGTATAAAGGAAAAGGCCATGTTTATAGCACTTCCAGCTCTTTCTTCTAAGTTCTTATACACATCTCTACGTGTCAAAACTCCAGCAGTCTCATGGCCACCCTGCAGATGCTGGCTCCATTGAAGGTGGTGACACACTCCCTAACATACTGTACACATCTCATTTACTAAACTTCATTCTTCTCTCTGACAAACAACCTAGAAACATAAGAATGGTGCCTCAAGCTCTGAGGAGCCAGACTGGGCAACTCTCCAGGGTACTCTCCATACGCTTGGTCTGGTCTCCGCATCCTGTCAAATCCATTTTTCATTTAATCTTTACCTGAGCCAATTCTCTAAAGCAGTAGTTCTCAATCTTTGGGGATCAAATGACTCTTTCACAGAGAATTGCCTAGACCATCTGCATATCAAATATTTATATTACAATCAATAATATAGCAAAATTACAGTTATGAAGTAGCAATGAGAATAACTTTATGGTTAGGGGTTATCACAACATGATAAACCATATTAATCACTGATTTAGAGAGTCTGGTTCATCACTATACTAATATTTATTTATTTATTTACTTATTTATTTATTTATTTTTTAAAGACAGGGTCTTGCTTGCATGATATGTAGCCCAGGCTAGCCTCAAGCTCACAGGAATCCTACCTCAGCCTCTAGTGCTGGGATTGCAGCTGCATGCCAGCCACCATGCTTGCTTCATTTGAAAGTGAAATTAGATATGATAAACTCATGATAGAAAATCCTAAATCCACAGAAGTGTCTGGTAGACGTAAAGCTTAAAGACGTGATACTCAGTATTATATCTTTCAAGTTTTTTTACCATTAACTTTATAAGTGAGAAAACTGGTTCAGAAAAGTTCATTTGTGCATTTCCAACCACCTGTAGCCAAAAATGTGGGTAGTAAAACTAGGATCAAATGGGTGCCAGGGCCTACATTTTTAGCAACTGTCATAGTGTCCTGTGCTATGCTGTCTCAGGAACTCTGGAAGATCGCAGGGAGGAGCATTGTCTGTCTATTCTTAGCTCATTGCTGTTGTCTATCAGGGCAACAGAGACAGCTGTATGGAACTCCCTTAGTAATGAACTTCTCCCTCTCTCCTCCAGTAATGAATTTCCCTGTCCGGTCTTTGATCAGTTGGAACTGGAGAGGGGGTTGTCCTAGTGTCCCAGGGTAGTAGTGGAGATAGGGCATAGGGACCATCCTAACAAGAGTACACACAGAGCAGATTTAAGTGCTACAAAGAAAAAAAGGAGCCAGGGCCAGGGTCTATTCTGGAGAAACGCCCACCTCCAGTTGCCTTTGACAGTGGATTCATTCTGAGGCCTGTCACTGGTCCCCAACAAATGGGTAGTAGCAGTAGCAGCAATAGCATGGGGCAGGGCTGCATGATCCCTCTCCCGAGGCAGCTGGGCCCACCTGCTGGGTGAGCCCCAGGCTTAAGAAGCATTCTCCTAGTGAAGAGCCAAGAACTGCTTCTTGGGAAGGGGACAGGTGGTTGAGATTAGAACTTTTGCTTTTCAGAACCCTTTGAAATTGAATAGATGTTTGCTAAGGATGAGGGAGCAGGTCAGATATCAAGAGGAGAAAGGCATCTCTCAGGCACCCCAGGAAAAGGCAGGAAAAGCAGTGAGTGTTTGAGCGCTGAGACTTTATTGCTCAGCAGAGAAGCTCTTCTCCAAGCCTGTGACTCCTCAGGGGTTATGAAACTGATGACAGTTGTGGGAGCAAAGCTGGCCATTTACTTTAAATTTTTACTTTTTATTTTTATTGTGTTGAGAAGCAGAAACTTTGGGACCCAGGGAATTATCAGATTCCCTCTTGCTCATCACCATGACACAGATGGTGCCTTTGTTCTTTTGAGAGAGTAGTGAGGCTAGATGCTTATATCAACTAGTAAATCTATATATAATCCTGATAGAGATGACTAATATTTCTATTTTTATTTATTAGAGAGTGTGTCTGTGAGAGAGTGAGGTAGTGAGAGTGACAGAGAAAGAGACAGAGACAGACAGACACACAGAGACAGAGACAATGATACAGCACACGTGTGGTCAGAGCATTCTGTACTGTCGGTTCTACCGTCCATCTTTATGTAGGTTCTGGGGATTAAACTCAGGTCATCAGGTTTGTATGGCAAACTCTCTTACGTTCTAAGCTATCTCACCAGCCTTATGACAGTTAAAAATCTTCATAGAGGATGATGAATAGGTTTTGAAACTGCAAGGCACCAATGAATTTCAATAGGTGGGCTTGAATACACCCACTCTCTTTTTCCTTGTGTGTGCTAGGCACCGAGACTGAGCATGGTGGTGGTATATGCCAGTAATCCCAGCATCTAGCAGGAAGAGTGTAACAAACAAACAAACAAGAGAGGGAGGGAGGGAGGGAGAGAGAGAGAGAGAGAGAGAGAGAGAGAGAGAGAGAGAGAGAGAGCGCCAAGTATGCAAGGTCCACATAGATCTTTGCTCTCCATAGTCTGGGAAAGCATTTACAACTTGCTGAAGCCCTTTTGAGAGCCAGAGGAACTTCTCTCAGCTGGTCCCTGCTACTGGTCCTGCCAGTGTTGGACAGTCCTTAGCTGACATGGAGAGTTATCTTTCTGAAAGCAGTTTTCGTGAGCAAAGTTATAGCTTCCTTTCAGGTGCATGCATGTTGAATAACTGGTCAACATGGAGGTGCTTGGGCTTGTCTCTCTCAAAGCCACTCTATGCGGCTTGGCAGGGCATCCCGGCACTGCATTGCATTATGGGTCAGCAGTAACCTTCCAGAGGCTCCATCAGAGGCCATGTGCCATTCTTCCTTAGCCAGGCAACTCAAGAGTACGCTTTTGTGAGATTCCTGCTCGCTCCTGTGATCTCTACATCCTAAGGAAGTCCGCCATCAAATGGCCCCCAGCCTCCCCAGATTGGAGCATGGTCACCTTGTTCTCACTCACCAGACTTGGGGTTGCAGAGCACAGGGGGGCTGCTGCTGAGTGTGGGGCTGCTGCTGAAGTAGCCACTGCTGCCACAGCTGCTCATGCTGCTCCTCCGCACAGCAGACACGATCTTGATCTCCTTGCTGGGGCTGACTGCAGAGGGGGAGCAAACATAGTCACTGAGTAGGCAGTCACAGGACCTAGAACGCCTGGGCTTTCAGCTGCAAAGGAAAACTCTCACGTCCAGTTCTGCCACAGACTCACAGACAGAGTAACTCAAGCCACCCCCTTTCAGTTTCCTGGACTGTAAAATGAAATAATATTATATCACAGGATGGGTATGAGAGGATCATATGATGTCTATGAACACCTTTGTCTCTGTCCCTCTTTTCAAAATAGGGCTCATTATGTAACCTATGCTAGGCTCAACGGCTAGGGTCCTGGAATTATAGGGCATGCCATTGTGCCAAGTTTACAGGTATTGTTTCTTTGGAGTATTCGTGTATGTGTGTCTGTATATGTATGTTGCATGTATCTGTGCACATATGTATTCTTGCATGTAGGGGTCATAGGTCAATATCCAGAGTCTTCTCCAGTTGTTCTCCATCTTAGTTTTGAGACTGAACCTGGAGCTTGATGACAGCGAGGCTAGATTAACCAGCAAGGCCCAGGCTTCCTGTCCTGCTCCCTGGCACTGGAGTTATGGACACACAACAACATACCTTTTGATCTTTTTTTTTTTTTTTTTTTTTTTTTGGTTTTTTGAGACAGTGTTTCTCTTTATAGCCTGGGCTGTCCTGGAACTCACTCTGTAGATCAGTCTGGCCTTGAACTCAGAAATCCGCCTGCCTCTGCCTCCCAAGTGCTGGGATTAAAGGCGTGTGCCACCACTGCTCGGCTTTTTTTTTTTTTTTAAATCTTAACATCTTTTATGTGAGTGCATCGGATCTAAACTCAGGTCAGTGTTTTTGGGTGTTAAGCACTTTACCAACTAGGGCCATCTCCCCAGCTCCTATAGGACATGAATTCAAGAACTACCAAACCTAACCATTTCCTTCCTGGAAATACACCCATTGCTGGTGATACATGCGACACTTAGTACACACTGGTGGTAAATGGTCCTCATTATATGACAGCCGGCAACCATTTGGAAGCACAGAAGACAAAGCTTACGACAGCTCATACTGAGGCTTTCAAACTGTTACATGAGACAGACTCTTCAGTTTTCAAATCTGGTTCTTCCTGTCACAGAGCAGTGTGGCTCTGACGGCTGAAGGTCTGGAAGTGAGGGCAAATAGACAGGCTGCTCTGAACACTGACTGGCATGTGGAAAGAAAACAAATAAGAGAAACTGCTGGCTTTACAGGACTATGTTACTGTATTCTCCCCTCTTCATCTTTGCTGAATCTGTTCAAGAAGCAGGCAAGCCCCTGCCCCAAAGGAAGAATGGATACTGTTACTTGCAACTGCAGGAGACTGCGGTGTGTTCCTACTGTTGTGTTTTATAAAAAGACAAAGGAGAGAAGAAATATGTTTGGTGGAGGTATGGTAAGGTGTGGGGGAAGGGGGTGCCTCCACGGGCCCATGCTGAGACATCCCTTCCCCTGAGGGACCAACTACATGAAGGTATAGTATAGAGTTTATTCAGGGCATGGGGAGGGGAGATGAGAGGGTAGTAGAGACAGAGAAAGGCAGAGAGGGAGAGGGAGAGGGAGAGGGAGAGGGAGAGGGAGAGGGAGAGGGAGAGAGAAAAGGCCAGCCATGAGCAAATGGAGGGGGGTGTGAATGGGGAAAGAAGGGGGAAGGAAGGAGAGGATAGAGCAAGAAAAAGAAGGCAAAGAGAGAGAGGAGGGGGCAAGCAGCCCCCTTTATAGTGAATCAGGCATATCTGGCTGTTACCAGGTAACTGTGGGGCGGAGCTTAGATAAAATGCTAACACCTAGGATGACCTGGGAGCATAGACTTGGGCCGCTGACCTCCAGCTTGGTTTTCGCTTTTCTGCTTAGCAACTCTTGCTCCACTCTTATTTTGAGCCAAGGTGTGTATGAGGCCTGTGGGATATGTGGGACTCGGAAGGGGAAGGGATGAATTAGAGCTGTGATGTGAAGTTATGTCCACCACTTGGAACTGTAAGCCACTCCAGTGCTAGGATGTTCCTTCGTCTCTAAAACCAGGACAGGAACAATCACTTCCTTAGGGTTACAGGAAGAATTAAGTGAGCAAATCCTGCTGCTGATCTCAGGGCAAAGGAATGTCCCCTTTGACAGGGCTAAGTGTCCTTGTTATCAGCTCCTGTTCATAAGCAAGACAAGACAAATACATTTGGTGCTGAGTTAAGCCCAGTGCTAATTTTCTTTTCTGTTTCTTCCTTCTTCTCCCCTTTCTCCATCCTTCTTTCTTCCTTTCCTCTCTCATCCCCTCTCATCCTTTTGAGGCAGGATTTTAAGAAGTTATGTCTCTAAACCTGACCTTGAGTTCTTGCCTCCACCTCCCAGTTACTGAGATTACAGGCTAGGGTCCCTCCGTGACCCAGTGCTTCCGAACTTTAAGTCACCAAGGGCCTTGAGTTCATGCCACATTTTCAGATGAGTTGATGATCCTCTTTAAGCACCTCCCACTTCTGCATTTGGGATGGTATGTGTGTGTGTGTGTGTCTGTGTGTGTGTGTGTGTGTGTTTAACACAAGGTCTCACATAATCCAAGAAGACTTCAAATACTGTAGTGGAGGATGACTTTGATTTTCTAATCCACCTGCCTCCTCCTCCTTCTCCTGATTCTGGAATTTATAGGAATGCAGTGCCACACCTGGGAGTTGCTAGGGATTAAACCTAGGGCTTCCAGGCATGCCACAAGCAGCATACCAAAGGAGTCAGATTCTCAGCCCCACACTTTATTTCCTCTCAAAAAGACAAAAACGCATGCATACACAACCAAACCCAGCATACCTGACATAAAGCTGGTAGATTTCCGATTGTCATGGCTCTGCTTCCTCAGACAGAAGGGACTGTCATGTGTCTCCTGAGAGGACGGGCTCTTCTCATTGAGCAGCTCCATCAGCCTCCGCCTCCGACGGAAGTTCATTCTGAACTGGTAGAGGAGGTTGCTGTCCACAAACGGGTGCTTGTTAGACACTGGGGAGAAGAAACAACTCATGAAGAACGTGTGGCATGCAGGTCAGAGAGCAAGGCAGCCAGAAGACTCTAGCCAACAGGGGCAAAAGTCCCAAGAAAGAGGCTACGTAAATGCCATGTGGGCTTGTGGAGTGCCTCATACACACACCCAAATTCTTCTAAATGCATATATTTAGCCAGATCGTCTGTAAAACAGTCTTTTTTTTTTTTTTTGGTTTTTTTCGAGACAGGGTTTCTCTGTGTAGCCCTGGCTGTCCTGGAACTCACTCTGTAGACCAGGCTAGCCTCGAACTCTCGAACTCAGAAATCCGCCTGCCTCTGCCTCCCAAGTGCTGGGATTAAAGGCGTGTGCCACCACCGCCCGGCTGTAAAACAGTCTTGAGTTCAGTTCTATCTGAGTTCCCTTCCTAGTGTCCCGCTGGCTGCAGGGTCCCCTCCATCAGATCACTGTACACCCTTATGGTTCACTTCTCTTGTTTTTCTACTGGAATGAACACCAGGCTCCCAGCAACCTGGCACAATATTTGTGTATGTCTCATACCAAGACTTCATTTCTTTTCTCTTTGAGACAGAGTCCGCTGTAGCCCAGGCTGGCTTCAAACTCATTATATGTAGTCAAGGATGACTTTGAAATCCTGATCATTCTGCCTGTTTCCTGAGGGCTGGGATTCCAGGTCTGTGACACTGCACACAATTTAAGCACGGTAGGCAAACATTCTACCAAACATTCTTCATCACTGGCCTTTACTTGTTAAAACAGGTACATCAAAACTCAAGCCCAAGTTGATCAAAGACCTCAACATAAAACCAGATACACTAAATCTGATAGAAAAGAAAGTGAGGAATAGCCTTGAAGTCAATGGCATAGGAGACAACTTTCTGAATAGAGCACCAACATCTCAGGCATTAAGCTCAACAATTCATAAATGGGACCTTCTGAAGCAAAGGACACCATCAATAGGACAAAACAGCAGCCCACAGAATGGGAAGAGATCTTCACCGACTCTACATTTGACATAAGGCTAATACCCAAAATATATAAAGAACTCATGATATTAGACACAACAAAGCAAATAATCCAATTTAAAAATGGGGCACAGATAGATCCAAACAGAGAATTCTCAAGAGAGGAATCTCAAATGGCTGAGAGGCACTTAATGAAATGTTCACAGTCCTTAGTCACCAGGGAAATGCAAATCAAAACTATTCTATAGTCCATCTTACACCCGTTAGAATGGCTAAGCTCAAAACCGCAAGGGACAGCACATGCTGCATGCATAGGATGTGGAGTCAGGGGAACACTCCTCATTGCTGGTGAGTGTGCAAACTTGTACATCTTTGGATATCAATCTGGCGGTTTCTCAGAAAATTGGGAATAGTTACCTCAAGACGCAGCTATACCACTTTTAGGCATATACCCAAAAGATGTTCCACCATACCACAAGGACATTTGCTCAACTATGCTCATAGCAGCTTCATTCCTAATAGTCAGAAACTGGAAATAGCCTAGGTAGCCCTCAACTGAAGCATTATATAGAAAACGTGATTCATTTACACAATGGAATACTATTCAGCCATTAAAAACATGGACATCATGAAATTTTCAGGCAAATGAATGGAACTAGAATATATTATCTTGACTGAGGTAACCCAGATTCAAAAGGGCATGCATGGTATGTATTCACTTATAAATGGATGTTAGCCATAAAGTACAAGATAACCATGCTACAATCCACAGACCCAAAGAAGCTAAGTTACAAAGAAAGCCCAAAGCGAGATGCTTGAATCTCACTGAGAAGGGGGAAATAGAGTAGATATTAGGGGTAAATGGGGGGGGGGAGCTGGGTGGGAGAGGGGGTGGGATGTGAACAGAAGAGACCAAGTGTGGGGAGAACTGAGGGAGAGGGAACTGAAATCGGTGGGAGTTGTTTTTAAAACAAAAATCCCAGTTGTTGGATTTTTACCAGAGAAGACTCAGGAGCCAGACAATATGGTGAAAGCCTGCTAGCTCAGAGAGACAGAGAAAGCAACCAACTGACCTTCCTACTCCACAACATCCCAGAAGGAAAAAGCTCTTCCTCCTCTACACCAGTTTAAGAACCCTGTAACTCCAAGTCCCTCCTTCTTTCTACTTCCTTTGTTCACTCCCTGTGCACTGCTTGGTTGCTCCGCCTCTTGACCGATTTTTGACTTTGTTTACAGAAAGCTCTTAGGTTAAAGGTGTGTGCTGGGGCTGAGCGCCACAACTCTTGTTGACAGTAAACAGAAAGCTCTTGGATGGAATGCTAGGGCTCAGTCACGCCACAACAAGGTTTTTTTCAGTTACAGTCTTGGGGTTCACGATGTGATCAAATATTCTGCAACAGATTGTGAGGACATCTCTGGGACAAGCTAGAAACTTAGGACAATGGAAACTCCCAGGAGTCTATAAGGATAACCCTAGCTATAACTCCTAGCAATGGGATATGGAACCTGAAACTGCTACCTCCTGTAACAGGCAAGACTTCCATTGGAGAGATGGGGACACCAATGCAGCCACAGAACCTTTGACCCACAATTTTTCCTACCTACAAGATGTGCAGAGGTAAAGATGGAGGAGAAATTGAGGGAATGGCCAACCAATGACTGGCCAGACCCATGCCATGAGAGAGAGAGCCCACCCTGACACTATTAATGATATTCTGTTATACTTGCAGACAGGAGCCTAGCATAACTGTCATCAGAGAGGCTTCATCTAGAACCTGATGGAAACAGACGCAGAGACCCACAGCTAAACATTAGGCAGAGTTTGGGGAGTCCAGTGAAAGAGGGGGGAGGAATGACTGAAGGAGTCAGAGAGCTCAAGGACACCACAAGAAACCTACAGAATCAACTAACCTGGACCCATAGGGGTTTACAGGGACTGAACCTCCAACCAGAGAGCATGCATGGGTTGGACTTAGGATCTTTGCACATATGTAATGTTATTTGACACTTTAAAAATTATTATTATTATTGCATTTATTTATTTGTGTATGGAGGGAAGAAATGTGCATGGCACATAGCGTACATGTGGAGGTCAGAGGACAAATTGTGGAAGTCAGTTCTCTTTTTCTATGATGTAGGAATTGGGGAGCAAACTCAGGTCATCATTCTTGGTGGGCTCACCACGTGAGCACCAAGGACCCAGCTGCCTCTGCCTCCCCAGCATTGAGATTGCTAGAGCTACCATGACAGGCTTTTTAGAACTGGGTTGTGGGGATTGAACTCAGGTCCTCCTGATTATACAGGCAATATTTTTATCAACTGACCTATCTTGGTCAGCCTCAAGCTATATGCTTTAATTCGATGGATTATATAGTATATGAACTATAGTTCAATAAAGTTATTTTTTTAAGAATCAACAACAGATTAGAATGGTGAGATACTCCTATCTCCCCCCAACCTGGGTAGGGAGGCAGGAAAAACTTTAAGATGGATATTATAAATTTCTTAAGAAATTCTATTTAAACTGTGTTGGAAGTTATCTGTAGCTTTTGGTAAAAATAAGATTCCTTCAATATATATATATATTTTTTTTTTAGGTTTTTCGAGACAGGGTTTCTCTGTGTAGCTCTGGCTGTCCTGGAACTCACTCTGTAGACCAGGCTGGCCTTGAACTCAGAAATCCGCCTGCCTCTGCCTCCCAAGTGCTGGGATTAAAGGCGTGCGCCACCACCGCCCGGCACCCATTAACCTCTACCTACAGCATTAACTGGCTCACAGCTTCCTCTGAGTGTATTTATCATTCACATTATCAATGCGCAATTCCTCTGTTAATTATTGTTATTGGCAGCAGCATTGTTTTGAAGTACTGGGGATGAGCCATAGGGCTTCATTTGTACGAAGGACATACTCCACCACTGAGTATATGCCCAGTCCTTTGTACACTTTTAATTTTATGATAGGGTCTTATTAAGTTGTCTGGGCTGACCTTGAACTCATATCCCGGACTTGTAGTCCAGGTAACACTTAAAGTTGGAACTTTTCTGTTTCAGCCTTCTAAACTGCTAGGATTACAGGCCTGTGCCAACAGGCCCAATTTCTGATTATATAAATGCTGGTGATTCATACAGAGGATAAAATGGGCATTGAAATGGAAAAATAATTTACTAGTGCCAAACTCCGTGACACTTTGGAAAATACTTTGCTTTTATATATTTTTGTTCACCAGAATTCAAAATGTAGGATCCCTACTAAGAGAGTACCATGGACAATATTTAACTCAATGACTTTTTTTTTTTTTTTTTTTTTTTTTTGGTTTTTCGAGACAGGGTTTCCCTGTATAGCCCTGGCTGTCCTGGAACTCACTCTGTAGACCAGGCTGGCCTCGAACTCAGATATCCGCCTGCCTCTGCCTCCCACGTGCTGGGATTAAAGGCGTGCGCCACCACTGCCCGGCTAACTCAATGACTCTTACGGGAGAGTCACAATCTTAAATGCTGATAAATGTTGGTCAAAAGAATGTTGGCCTTAGCGACGAAAACACTGGGTTAAGGATGTGGCTCAGTGGCACAGGGTTTGCCTAGCACAGGCAAAGCTGAGTTAAATCCAAGACACTGCCAAAATCCAAAATGAAACTCACACTAAAACATATAAGCACACTGAATTCCCTGGTAGTTCTGCATGTTCTCAGACTCATCTGATGCTAGCACAGCACAATGTAGACTGAGAAACCAAGTAACTTATCATATGAGTATCTAAAAGCCTCGACTGTGTACACAGCCACATGTTTGTATAAATCTGTAAAGGATAAATTATTTTGTGTAACCTTGTTCTCAGTTTGCTGACTTAAAGAATCCCCATGGTAACTCTCACAACAGTATTTTAAATTGTGACCTGTGTGTGTATGTTTTGTATGTGTGTATGTATATACATATATTTGTATATACACATGTATACATTTACTAATACCTACTGCCTACTGCTTTCCCTTGGCACTGTGAATTATATGAAACATTAGCTGTGTTATGATTAAAACC